GTTTTCTCCCGTAAGTGATATCCGAGAGCTGGGAGTCGGATCACCTGGATGGAGGGCCTGCGGTGCGCGAGCGAGCGTGTGTGCGTGTGCGTGTGAGGGTGCGTGTGCGTGTGAGGGTGCGCGCGCGCGCGCGCGCGCGCGCGCGCGCGTGTGTGTGTGTGTGTGTGTGAGAGAGAGAGAGAGAGGGGGAGGAGAGACAGAGAGAGAGAGAAAGAGAGAGAGAGAGAGAGAAGAGAGAAAGAGAAAGAGAGAGAAAGAGAAAGAGAGAGAAAGAGAAAGAGAGAGAAAGAGAAAAAGAGAGAGAGAGAGACAGAGAGACAGACTGAGAGAGAGAGAGAGAGAGAGAGAGAGAGAGAGAGAGAGAGAGAGAGAGAGAGAGAGAGAGAGAGAGAGAGAGAGAGAGAGAGAGACAGAGAGACAGACTGAGCGAGAGAGAGAGAGAGAGAGAGAGAGAGAGAGAGAGAGAGAGAGAGAGAGAGAGAGAGAGAGAGAGAGAAAGAGAGAGAGAGAGAGAAAGAGAGAGAGAGAAAGCGAGCGAGCGAGAGAGAGAGAGAGACAGAGAGAGAGAGAGAGAGAGACAGAGAGACAGAGAGAGAGAGACAGAGAGAGAGAGAGAGCGAGAGACAGACAGACAGAGAGACAGACAGACAGAGAGATGGCACAGCACCCGTAAGCAACCGCGCGGGGAAACGTTCTTAATCTCCGTAGTGGGATCAATCTCAGCGAGTAATGATGCCCAGGTTAATATCAGGGCGAGGGTTACCGCTGTAGGGGCGAGGAGGGGGAGGGGGGGAGGGCGAAGTTACGGTGGGGTAGAGGGGGGGGACGGAGATGATGGTAGGGGGGAGGGTGTAGAAGGGGGGGGGGGCGGAGATGATGGTAGGGGGGAGGGGTAGAGGGGGGGAGGAGATGATGGTAGGGGGGAGGGGTAGAGGGAGGAAGATGATAGTAGGGGGGAAAGGGGAGATGGTAGTAGGGGGGGAAGGGGGAGGGGAAGGGGAAAGGGGGAGGTACTAGTAGAGGGAGTGGAACAGGGGTAGAGGGAAGAGAGGGAGAGGGAGAGGGGTAGAGGGAAGAGAGAGAAGAGAGGGAGAGGGGTAGAGGGAAGAGAGGGAAGAGAGGGAGAGGGGTAGAGGGAAGAGAGGGAAGAGAGGGAGAGGGGTAGAGGGAAGAGAGGGAAGAGAGGGAGAGGGGTAGAGGGGGACAGGGGGAGAGATCGAGGGAGGAGAGGGAGATAATAGCAGGGGGAGAGGGGGAGAGGTAAAGGGGAGAGGGGAAGACGAGAATCGGGGGAGTGGGGGGGAGAGAGAGAGAGAGAGAGAGAGAGGGAAGAGATGATAGTAGGGGGATATGGGGAAGGGAAGGTGATAGTAGGGGGATATGGGGAGGGGGAGATGACAGTAGGGGGAGAGGGGGGCAAAAGGAATAGGAGGAAATGATAGTAGGAGAAAGGGGGGGGAGAGGGAGGGTGTGAAGGTGAAGATGATAGTTGGTTGGCTAGTAGGGCAAGAGAGGGGAGGGGAGGGGAGGGGAGGGGGAAGGGGAGGTTCATAGGCGGATGATCGTAGTTGAGGGGAGGGGGAAGTGGAGAGAAGAGGGAGGGGGGGGAGGGAAGATGAGGAGGTCTCGGCAGTTATCGTAACTTGGTCCGTCGAGCCCCGGATGAAGTTTGGAGAGAAAAATGCGAACGTGGGATGTAGAACTGCGAATCCCTGCGTGTCCAATGTAGCAAAGTTTAATGAAGTGGTTTTGGGGATAGGGGAGGCGACTCGCTCTCCTCTCCTCTCTTCCCTCTCCTCCTTTTTCTGTTTTTGCTTCTTCTCTTCTCTCTGCCTCTCTCTCTCATTCTCATTCTTTCAATCTCTTTCTCTCTCTCCACCTGATTGGGAGTGAATGTGTGTGCACACAGACAGACAGACACACACACACACACACACACACACACACACACACACACACACACACACACACACAGATATATGTGTAAATCTTTAATGAATTGTAAATATTATATACATCTATTTATAGATCATAAGTAAATATATATATATACACATATATATATCCGTCTTTCCTTCCTCGCTAATCTTCGCCGGAGGCTATTTGTTGTCGCGGCTGATGAGTGGCCGTGATAGAGTATCTTCCTCAGTATTTTCCAAACTAAGGGCTTATTTCCTCAATCACCGACGATTTGCAACGCCAAAACCACCTTCCTCGTCCGTAAAGAAGACGCGAGTGCACTGACGCGGCCGAACACCGCTCATTTTCCGTTTAACGAAGAGCACGTACAGGGCGACGCCACACTCTTCCAGTGCGGACACCGTCGCTCCAGCAAGAGTATCGGGACATCTTTCTAATCACCTCGTTGGCTCAGGACTCGCAAAGGTCGTTGTCCCTTCGCGGCTCGTTCTTAGTCATCATGGACGTCGCCAGGAGAGTCGTTCTCAACATCCAACAGGTGGTGGTCCTATTGCAAAACTACGCAACTACATGTCTCTGCATCCGGGAAGTCGTACGCAAAAGGTCGTGCAAAAAACAGAGAGAATAGTAGTCCTTGCTGTAAATAGCAGTCAGTGCAATATATAGCAGTCGCTGTAGTAAATACCAGTTCTCCAAACAATAAATCTCCATTAACAACGAATCTTCCATAAAAGTAGGAGGCCATTCGCGGTCCAGGAAAACTCGTCCATGAATATAAACAAACAAGCTGTCCCATTACATATCCGAGGTCATCGGTGTCTTCCAGCTCGAGCGGGAGGGCAAAACAGGTCAGAACACGAAGCCAATTTGGTCGATCGTCTTTGATATTAGCTATAAACTCGTCTTTATTTACAAAAAGCACGTCTCCATTTTCTTTGTTTTTTTTTCTCTCTCTCCCTCTCTTTCTCTTGATTTTCTCATCACAAAAGTACAGCATAAAACTTCTGGCATTACACTGAACTACCATAAACAAGATATCACACAAAACTTATTCCCAACAGAGAAAGTTTGAACAAAGGCTTTCCCGGGTTTCAATATTCGCGTGTGCGCTGTTAAAATATCACAAAAGCCAAATATTGTGTGCGTTTTCCTTCACACAAAGATACAGGCATATCCATGTGTCTTGACTACACAGCATACACCTAAATGTAACCATATAAAAATTTATAATTTCAATTATAAATATCACACGCAACACGTCACCAATTCAATGTCGCAAATCACTACATTCTACACAATAGTGTATAAAATTCCACAGCGAAAAAAACACGACCCACCAACACCGCCGATGTTCCACCATCAATACAAATTATATTTTCCCAATATGAAAAAAAAAATACTTTGTCGATACATCTCGCAATCGGTGCCGTCTGCCGGGAGGAATTCGAGAAAGAAAATTCAAGTGATAAAAGTCTTTTCTGAACACCTACGCCTATCTGATCAGGAGGTGGCGGTGCTGGTGATCAAGGAGGAATACAAGAGGAGGAGGAGGAAGAGGAGGAGGAGGAGGAGGAGGAGGAGGAGGAGGAGGAGGAGGAGGAGGAGGAAGAGGAGGAGGAGAAGGAAGACAGGAGGAGATTGAGGAGGAGGAAGAGCAGGAAGAAAAAGAGGAAGCAGAAGAAAAGAAAGAAAAAGATGAAGGAAGAGGAACAGGAAAAAAGGAGGAAGAGGAACAGGAACAGGAAAAAATGTAACCAACGATGGGAAAATCAGGAAATAAACCACAGGAATAAAAAGAAGGAGAAAATCACACTGATAGAGAAAGCATGGAGAATGCAGAATAGAAAAGGGAAAAATGGCAAGAGAAGAAAAGAGAGGAGGACAGTAAGGTGGCAAGATGGATGGAAGGATGGATGGAGAAAGGGAGGGAGAAAAGAAGGAACGAGGGACGATGATGATATGGGGAAGGAAGAGGAAATCGAACACAACAGCAGCAAAAGCAGGAGAAAAGAATAGACCGAGTAGGAAGGAGGAGGAAGAAAAGGGGAAAAAAAGGAAAGCCAGCAAGAAGGATACGAGGGGAGGGGGGAGGGGGGAGGCAGTTAAAGCGGAAGGAATGGAGGGGAGGGGAGGGGAGGGAAGGGGAGGGGTGGGGAAGGGGAAGGGGGAAGAGGGGAGGGAAGGGGAGGGAAGGGGAGGAAAAGGCAGGACGGGCTCGGGTAGGGTAGTGTAGGACAGGGGAGGGTAGGACAGGGGAGGGGGAGGAGGGTAAAGGATAGCAAAACTTAAAACAAGACCACAAGTCAAGGCAAGTTTCCAGCGCCGTAACTTGCTGTTAACATATGAGCGATGGCGTTCGGGCGGGCAACCCGGAACAGGCCGGGAAGTGCAGCGGCCGGTAATGTTGTATGGCAAGTGGCCTATATTACAAAAAAAAAAAAAAAAAAAAAAAGTTTCCCACGCGATTTTTGATTCATGGGGAAATAACAGGAAGGGGCCATGTCATTTTCAGGGATATAACCTTCATTTAACGAAATTTACACGACGTCTTGATTTAATAATTCAAGAAAAAAGCGTACATACATAAAAGATTGAAACATACACAAATCAATTTCGTACACGTACACACACACACACACACACACACGCACGCTTCCACACGCATTCAGTTAACTAAATACCAACATAAGAAAAAACATGAAACGCCAACAAATTAAAAAAACAACAACAGCCATACACGTGAAATGTGTGGGTGGTGTATGTGCGTGAATCTTGTTTGTGGGCGTGTCTAACTGCCGCGTGTGGGTGAAGGGGCGGGTGATTAGTTGCAGCCATTCGTGTGTGGTGTGGGTGTGGATTTGGGTGGATAGTTGTTGGAGTGAGTGAGTGTGAGTGTGAGTGTGAGTGTGTGTGTGTGTGTGTGTGTGTGTGTGTGTGTGTGTGTGTGTGTGTGTGTGTGCGCGCGTGTGTGTGTGTGCCCGTACAAGTGTTTGTCTGTGCTAGCATATGTGTGAATGGATGAATGGATGGATGGATGGATGGAAGCCCTTGGGCGTGCGTGGGCGTCGGCGTGGACTTACCTCGTGATTTCCTCCACCAGCTTGGTCGGGTCGGCGGCATAGAACTTCACACTGAAGTACAGCGTGAAGGGCGACGTGC